TTGACTGTGAGACGAAGGCCATGTTGACCACCCGTCTATTCCCATCTGCATCCGGGTCTAAGGGGGTATAAGTTCTGTAGGCCTCTAATAATCTTTCTAAAAAGGCCATGGGAGATTCGTCCTTCCCTTGCATAGTGGCTGCTACTTTTGCTAAATTGGTGGGTTTCTTAGCAGCGCCCCTTAGACTCCTGAGGAGGTTTCGGTGATAAGTGCGTAACCTCTGCATCCCCTCCCCAGTGTTTGGATCCCATTCTGGGGGTCGTTGAGGCAGTTCATCATCTAAGCCCTCGGGGCCAGCATCATCCCCGACCACAGCCTTAATTGCCTCAGCGCCTATCCTCTCCCTCTCCTCTGAGGTGAACAAAGTTTGTAAAATCTGTTGACAATCGTCCCAAGTGGGTTGGTGGGTCCGGAATACAGACTCCAATAAATTTATCAGAGCTTGTGGTTGCTCCGAGAAAGGGGAGTTTTGCTGTTTCCAATTATATAAGTCACTAGTTGAAAAAGGGACATAGATCATTCATGCCGGGCCCATAGAGCCGGGCGCAGCGGGCACCTCTCGTAATGGGAGCATTGGGACTGAGGTGTCCGCTTCCCGGGCCGGTTGATAAGGGGTGCCGTCCCGTGTATGTGAGGGACTCAAAAGTCTGGCATTGTCAGCCGGGCCTGGGGCTCTTGCCTGAGGCTCGTCTGAGGGTGCCCTCGCCTTCCCGCCCGAGGCGTTTCCTGCATAGGGCGGGGGCGTCATTACTTCCAGGAGCGATTCCTCAGGATCCCCTGGGGGGACCGGATATAACCGGGGTTTGGGTGCTTTCCCAGGGGACTCTGGTTGGTTCTCCTTGGTTGCCCCCGCGGTCGCTCCTTTGGGGCTGCAACCATAATGGTATGCTTTCCTACCTTAGCTTTCATTCCCTTTTGGGGCTCCTCCCTTCCGCATTTTGTTATATAGGGAGGCTTGTCTAACACTATGTCAATCCAGACATCTATGTATACCCGTTGATCTGGGTGAGGGACCCTATAAACAACCGAACGCACGGCGAAGAGGAGGTTAGGGTCAAAACTCCCCTCCGAGGGCCATTCCACCCCAAAGGCTGGCCACTCTAGTTCACATAGCGTCCTCAGGAAGCCGGGGTCTGCTGGCTTCCTGTAATTACAGGACCTTTTGAGAAAATCGGAAAAGTTAGAGAGCAGACATTCAAGGGGGGTCGGTTTCCTGGATGGTCCTTGACCCATGGTGTCTCTCCTGAAAGTGAAACAGTTAGAGCAGAAAGAGAGGCTGAACATACAAGAACACGAAATCAGAAGACAAACAAGAACAATCACTGAGACTAGTCTCACACCCGCACGGAACACACACACCTTCAAAGTGAAGCACCTAGGCTTCCAACATCAGAAGTCAGCGTCCTGACTCTGATTAGAGGCAGACAGTGCGCGGCGTCCCGCCTGTACAGCCTCGCCAAATGCTCCGGAGCCAAAGACACAAAGAAACAAATGGGTCGATCCACTTACCAAGACCACGTGGCGCGAAGTCCCTAAGCCGAATCTGGCCGCAGTCAGAAGATCAAATTTGTAGAGGCGAGGATGGAGGCGCCTCGCCTTGTGCCTGAGGAGGTCGACCCCTCTCAGAGGGGGACCTCGAGGTGATCTCACTGGGGCCTCCAAATGTTGTAACCCAGGAGATCGACCAAACTCAGACGCCGAGATGGGGTTTAACAAAAGGAGTTTATTGAGCTAAGTCCGCAGGCACCTGCAGTATGTCCCACACAGGAGTAACTGCGGCCCCGGAGAGCTAAAATGGCTCCTTTTTATAGGATTTTGTAAGGGGGGTGCTACGTGTAAGCAAGCATGTTACAGAAGCGGAATTTAGCAGTTAGTTAATTACCTGTTACTCAGTTTCCCAGACATCTCAAAGGTCAAGATGTTTTCAATAGATTATCCCTGGCGCCGACCCCAGGATTACTCAAGGGTTAGTTATTACCCCAGGGTTAGCGATTACTTAGGGATTAGTTAGTGAAGAATGTTCTTCAGTAAATGAGTAAACTGACAACCCCTTTGGTTGTCGTGAAGGCCTCTGGGAGTTTGGGTCAATGGCACTGAGTTATAACATGACTTAACTGGATTCTGACACTGCCTGAAGGTGTCAGGCCCCCAGGCTAAGGGCTCAGTCCACAGGAAGGCCACCCTTCCATACGCACACACTCAGAAGCCAGGCACAGGTCCTGATTATCGCCTAGAGTTTCTATAGACTATAGTTATCTATAGACTAGAGTTTCCAAAGACCCACCCTCCCTTGATTTGATTCACTTCCTAGAGCAGCTCACACAACTCAGGGTAACACTTATGTTCAGTTTACCAAAGGCTATGCTAAAGGATACAGGTGGCAATCCAGATGAAAGAGAGACACAGAGCAAGGAATGTGGGAAGGGGCATGGAGCCTCCTTGCCCTGCCTGGGCACACCCCTCTCCCAGCACCTCTCTGTGTTCACCGACTTGGACATTCTTTGAACCCCGAAGTTTCGAGATTTTCTGGCAGCTTCATCATATAGGCATGACGGATTAGTTCCATTTTCAGGCCTCTCCCTTCACAAAAGAATGGGGGGTGGGGCTAGAAATTCCAGCCCCCTCGTCATGGTCTTTCCGGAGCCATCGAGGAGCTGCCCAGGTCACCTCATTAGAACCACAGACACTTCTATCACCCAGAAAACTACAAGGGTTTCAGCCCTTTGTCAGGAACGGAGGTCAAAGACCAATATTAAAACAAGAGATGTTCCTAGTGTTCTTATCACTAAGAAAATTACAAGGGTTTTGAAAGGGGCTGTGTCGGGAACCAGGGGCAGAGACCAACCAACACTTTGTTATCTCACAGATAACATCTGTAGTTTTAATCTAACAAGCCTAATTCCCCTTATGAGTCTTTAAAATCTAAGAACAGCTTTCTTTTTTATTTTTATTTTCATTGTTGAAAGTATTACAGATGTCCCCCTTTTTTCCCCATTGACACCCTCCTCCCGCGTTCCCCAGCCTAGTGTCCATGTCCATTGGTTATGCATTTATGCATATAATTTCTTTGGTTTATCTCTTCCCTCCCCTCCCACCCCCATCCCTGAGGTTTGTCAGTCTGTTCCCTACTTCTGACTCTAGATCTCTTTTGATCAACAGTTTATTTTGCTCATTATGTCCCACAAATAAGTGAGATCATGTGGTACTTGTCTTTCTCTGACTGGCTTGTATCACTCTGCATAATACTCTCTAGGTCCCTCCATCCCCCGACTTGAGATCAAACCCACAATCTAGGTATGTGTCCTGACCAGAAATCAAACCCGCAACCTTTTGGTGCATGGGACAATGTTCGACCTGAGCCACACTGGCCAGGGCCCTCTGAGCCCATTTTTGTCATCTATAAAGAGTGGTTTATCTCCTCTCCCACAGGTACGCCATGAGAAAGCAAGTTTGTAAGTGCTTAATAAGGTGGACTTCAGTAAGTGGTAACTAACATTACAGTGTAAATTAAGACCCTATCTCTTTGTAGTCACACTATTTGTTCTTACTCAACTGTTACTAAGTAACGGTCAGGGTTCAGGGAACAGAATCTCCTCTGGCTAGTTTAGCAGAAAAGATTTGAATTTTATTAAACTGCAGAAATAATTTATGCCACAATCCAGTACCTATAAATATGTAATTTAATCTTTACAATATTTACCCACCTGACAAGTGTCCTCTGATATTTTTCTACAATTTTTAAAAATGCTACGACCCACTGCGTTCACATCACGGCTCACGGAGGAACCGTGGCCCCAGGTGGAAACCACTACATTGCAGGTACTCAAGGGCTCAGAGATCCGCTGGGAGGGCAGAGGAAATCATCTCTAGCCCGGGGGCGCCAGAGCCACCAGCTCCAGCCCTCTGCTGCATGGCCACATGCACAGAAGCGCAGTGCCCCACGAGGGTACCTGGCCGACTGAGCCCTGGAGCAAAGGGGTCTGGGAAATGCAGGAAAGCACACCTAGGAGGCTGCAGATGTTGATCCGATCCACAGAAACGGCCCCCTATCTGCAGTGAAATGTGGCTTAAACATCGTTAAACAAAAGTACATGGGTTGGACAAACCCAGTGGACTAAGCATCATCATATCTATTTTACCCGGATTAAATTGCATCTTTTCTTGGACACAGCCTATTATTGCTACTTCAGTGAGGAAAACCCATATAGCTACAACTTGTGCAATTTACTTGATGGAAGAAAATTCAGAGGAACAAACCAAATGGAAATTCCTGTTATATTTCCTTTCACAAACATACTCAACTCATTCAACTTGGGGACTACCAAAAGGAAAAATTTTTTAAAAAGCACCACCTAAAAATAGAAAAACAAACTGAGCTTCTCGTCTTTCCATCTGCACGAAGAAATCTTAAGATTAAAAAAAGTTTAGACTCTCTCTCTCTCTGTATATATATTTTACACTAATGAAGAGAACAAGGAATAACTCTTTGTTATCTTTTAGTTCAGTTTATATAACAATTTGTACCTATGAAGGAATTCCAACTGATTGAACAAAAGGCTTTGCTTACGATTTATAAAGCAAACTGAAAAATAAATTGTTGAAGGGGCAGCATTTAGTGAATGAAATAATACAGTTCTGGGGGGATCGGTAATTGATGTAAATTTGATCGAAAACAATAAACTGTATTAAGCTGCCATGAAGATTTATACAACGATCAAACGCAGAAAAACACAGAAGTAAAGTTCTACGGGACCCTAGCGGCGTAGTACCCTTCCTTGACCATGAGAGAACCTTTTAGAAGCTACAGCTATTAAGTTTACAAAAGTGCAAAACACCAGAAACACTTAACACAAACTCTTTATTTTAAAGAAAAAAGTATGTTTTCCCATTTATTAATTTTTGTTAAAAATTTTTTTGCCATTTTTAATTTGAGAGAGAGAGAGAAACATCAATGAGAGAGAACATCAGTTGGTCGCCTCCTGCATGCCCCCACTGGGGATCGGGCCCACAACCTGGGCATGTGTCCTGACCAGGAATTGAACCGGTAACCTCTTGGTACATGGATCGATGCTCAACTGCTGAGCCACACCGGCCGGGCCCTTGGCATAGATTTTAATTCTTCCCGGTGGAACCAAAACCTCCGGAACCCCGGTCAGTGTTGTCCAAAGCCTGAAAAGATAAAATGGTGGTGAGCCAGTTCATTTCAGACCCTCTCACAGTTCTCCCCAGCTTATTAGTGAGACTTCCATTCTCGCTATACCATCTTTTAAAAAGATTACAAAAAACAGTCCTGGCCGGCATCGGCCCACCGACCAGAGAGTCCCGGGTTCAGTTCCTACTAAGGGCATGTACTTCGGTTGCAGTTTGTCCCCGGTCCCGGTTGGGATCGTGTGGGTGGCAGCCACGCGATGTGTCTCTCTCACATTGATGCTTCTCTCTCTCTTCCTCCCCCTCTCCTTCCCACTCTATCTAAAGATAAATGCAAAAGTGTCCTCGGGTGAGGATTAAAAAAAAAAAATTACAAAAACAAAATTAAATTTTCAAAAAGCTCCATAAATTTAAATATTCAATAATTTTCAAAAAAGCTAAGAAAATAGAATTTTATATATTTAAATAATTTATTATCCAAAGTAATATTCTATGATAGCTATGAAAATCATTTCAAGAAGTTCTAAAACTAAGTAATTTTGCTGAAAATGGAACTAGTCACACATGCTAGTTACAAATAGCATATTAAAACCTCAACATTTTAATTTTCCTTCACTGAAGATGTTACATCATTCATTCCCTACTCTGCTTTTATACTTACTTGAACTTCCTCTATTTCTGGATAAAAAATCCGTTCACAAATGAGCTGTGCAATTCGGTCACCCTTTTTCACTTCAAAGAGAAAAACAAAACAGTTTGTTACTGATCTTTTATTAATGCATTCTCTGTACCCTGCATTGTATACAATGAGAACTAGAGTGTTATTCAGACATACATAATTCAGTAAACTTGCTGAATCTACGCGACTGTATGTACTTAACATACCTTCAAACTTTTCTTTGCCAAAATTAAACAGTACAACACCAACATTTCCTCTATAATCTTCATCTATGACACCAGCTGGAGGAAAAAAAATTAATAATGTTAGCTTGCTTTTTGCTACAAAACACTAAGAGTATATAATTACCTCAAAATCATTCTTATGTGGCTCTGAGATTTTTATACAACTGAGAAAGTGAATCTTGTTCTGGTAACTATGTAAAGCCTCCAAACTAAGACATATTACTAACAAGCAAATAAGAATTTAGAAGATAGTCCTTATTTTCCAACCTGTCACCCTTACAAATGATGACTTTCCTACTCTAAACTGGGAGCAGCACTCGGCATCTGACAGGTCATCCTGCATGGCTCTCTCCAAAGCCACTGTCTACCTGCCGCACACCTGCCAAAAAAGATTAGGAGAAAATTATGATTTGGGTTTTAAAGGCTTTTCTTGGTAGCAGCTTCCTACTAATGTCCACACGGATCTCTGATTGAGTCATACATAAAAATGTCACAAAGCCTGAAGATGCGCAGTGGAGTAAGTCGATGCGGACAGCGCTAGGCAGCAGTCTAGCAAATAGCAGAACATTTCATTTTTATAACAAAAATGGACATGCACCTTTCAGTTCATCTTCTTTCTCTCCTTTTCATTTGAGCCGCCACCTTTTCTTAAAGAATGATGGCTCAGAAAGACATTAGCACACGAGCTTAATAATGAGCACACTTTTACTTAGAATCCTTTGTGATTAGTACCTGTTTGAGACTATAAACATAAAGGCAAGAGAGAAACGTAAGCCAGGGCCCAGCTTTGGCCCAGACAGGTACATTTACCGGACTCGCTAGCATTTATCTTTGCGCCAAGAATTTAAACTGTTTCCATAAACACAAGCACGGATGATAGGTACACCAGGCCTTCTCATTTCTGTCTTTCAATATTGAGACTTAATTCACAGTTCAGTGAGTTTTAGTGTATTCAGAGATGTACAACCATCACCACAATCAATATAGAACATTTTCATTACTCCCAAAGAAGCCACCAACCTTCCAGCAGTCATTCTCCCCCCCCCCCCCCCGCCAGTTTCCTTTATACATGCTAAATTCTCTTTTGCCGGCTTGTAAAATGCTGGATAGAATTCATGTGAACCTCATTCAGTGTAGCTCCATGTAACGTCTTCTTATTAACACCTACCTTCTTAAACAAAAACAATAAAAAACCCTCTTATCAAAGAAAAAAATAAAAGCAATCAGGAACTTAGCTCTATGGGTACCAATGCTGGTTGGCAGGACTCATTATTAAAAGGTCAACTGAAAAAAAAAAGCTTTTTTGGAATAAGGTTAAGCATTTCCTTTCCATTTTCTCATATAGAAAAAAAAGTAAATTTAAAAAAAATGTTCCACCATAGGAAACTCAGAAAAAACATTTTAGATTTTTCCAGTGGATCAAATTATACGTTTAAATAAGCCTGTGCTTTATGAATGAATTACTAGGGAGAGTGAAAATAAAATTTAAGTGCTATTCAAACAGTCTTCCTGCTCGGTCGGTGTGGCCCAGTGGTTGAGCATCAACCCACGCACCAAGAGGTAGCTGTAGCTGGTTCGATTCCTGGTCAGGGCACATGCCCAGGTTGTGGGCACGATCCCCAGTGTGGTGCATGCAGGAGGTAGCCAATTAATGTTCTCTCAGTGATGTTTCTATCTCCCTCTCCCTTCCTCTCTCTAAAATCAATAAAGAAAAAAAATTATTAAAAAAACAGTCTGGCCCTGGCCGGTTTGGCTCAGCGGTTAGAGCGTCGGCCTGCGGTCCGGAGAGACCTGGGTTTGGTTCCCGCTAAGGGCGTGTACCTCGGTTGCAGTTTGTCCCCGGCCCTGGTTGGTCGTGCGGGTGGCAGCCACTCGATGTGTCCCTTTCACATCGATGTTTCTCTCTCTCTCTCTCCCTCAACAAAAAATGGAGAAATGTCCTCGGGTGAGGATGATAAAAAAAACAGTCTTGCAGCGATGGCCAGTTCCAAGAACACTGAAGCCTAGTTTCTTTCCCAATTGCCAGCTGACCATTAAATTCGTCCTTAATATTTACTGAAATAATCGATATAAAGAGAGGACCGGCTCTTCCCTTTGTTATCTATGTGCAGAGAATTTTGGCCACAGGGACAGTGCAGATGAGATTTAGTGGAGAAAGCCCTCGGTAGGAATCCATGCCGGAGCAGAGGGCCGCAGAGGGAGGCCACGGAACCCCACTCTGCAAGGCCCAGCAGACGGGGGCTCATCTATCTAGAGTGTTCGATAAAGACAAAGTGGACTGACTTCTGTGTTCTTTTGTTCCTATCTTATTAGAACAGTTTTAGATTGCCCGAATAGTAGGCACATATAAAGAAAAAGCTAATAATGTCCCCCTACCCTCCCTCAGGTATGTATGTAATATATTTTATGTAATATATTTTACATATTACTTTCTTTTTTTCCACTTAACATATCCTTTGAGATTAATATGTACAAATCTTAGTCATTCTTTTAAAATCCAAGATATGGAAGCACAGAACCATTATTTGTATGCATCTCTTACATGTTATCCATCACAGGTTTAGGTTGCCTTCACATTTTTGCTATGATACACAGAGCAGCACTGAACACATGTCTTTGTGAATTAATGCTTTTTATCCTCACCAAATAGTTTTCCAAAAAGCACTTTCCTGGGTCAAAGGGTGTGTACATTTTAAATTTTAATGGGCAATTTGCAAAAAAGGTGTACAGCACTTCAAACTTCCATCAACAATATTTAAGAAGGCCCCTTTCCACACTCCTTACAGTGCCCGTGGTAGCCATCTGCTTCATTCCGGCCCATGTGATGATGAGCAGTGGTACCTCCTGGCGTTACTCTGCGTCTCCCTGACGACCATTGAGGCTGGACCTTCCTCCTCCATATGATGTTGCACACTTTCATGTCCTCTTCTACATTTTGTTTCGATTAATTTCCTTTATCTGTTTGGGTATTTAACTATTTTGCATATGACTTGTATTTATTTTTTTTAGTTTATGTTATCTTCCACCACACAAAAACACTCCCTTGTTTGTAAAGGTCTCTGCTATCTATCTATAAAGCTCTTCTACCAAACTCAAGTGGCTGGGTGTTTTGAATTCTGCAGTGCCAGGTGATATATGAAGATTTTTTGCTTGGCACACAGACATGGGAAAAGCCTTCAACTAACTAAAAGAAATGAAGTTGTTTGAATTAAAATGTATGGCAGGGGGAAAAAAAGCTCTCAATTAAATTTTTCTTTTTAGCATGAATACCAAAAGTATATAAAAAAAAAAACCCAACAGTTCCAAGTTCATTTATCACTCAAAGGCAATTTTATCTTCAAGAAAAACTCACGCAAGGGACATTAGTGACATCGAAGATGTTTCTCTTCATGAGAAAGCGGCACGGATTCTGAAGTTATCACTGAAGACTCACGCACCGGAACTGGCAGAGTGACTCACCGACTTCAGGCCGTGTTACTGTGCAAGGCTTTGGCATGCCGTTCGCCAGAAACCTTTAGTGAAAACTGCCCGCACCTACCAGATGTGAATTCTGAACACAGTCCTGCATACTCAACTTTTTCTTTTGACCCTTATTTACAGCCTGGGATTTCTAACAACATCTCTCCTCTGAATTAGAAACTGTGGCCAACTATGATAAATTTGTGCCTAAAGACATTTTTAAGATACTCTGCATCCAAGAACACAGCAAAGTGCGATTTTATAAATAATACCAAACCAACCATCAGGCTAACTAACTTTGCATTTCTTGTACACACATTTTTTTCAGAGGGTTGCTTTCAACGGAGCAAAAATTAGTAACCAAGTTTCCATATTAAACAAACAAAAAAAATCTGTGATGTCCCCAGGGCACAGGAAATACAACTTCCAGGATCTAATACGTGCCCAATAGTGTCAGATGCTTTACATACATTATCATTTAAGCCTCCAACCCTTCACAGGTGGGCACACTAATTTTCATTGCTGTTACTCCAAAGCCCATGTTCCTTTCCCAACCCTTTGAAGTTTCTTTTTAAATAGATACAATTTTTTTATATCCTTAAGTTATAGTCCTAAGTTATCATACTTGACCTTGTAAAAGTATTTTTTAAAATCATGCATAATGGAGCCCGGGCAATCCTTAAACCCCTCAACCCGAGTGGGTGAGAGTAGGTGACATCCGGGTTGTGTCAAATTCAGTTTCTCTTAGGGGCTCCTGCCTTGCCCCACAGCACCACCTAGTGACAGCATGGGGTCACTAAGGAGCAGGCCGGAGAGGGCTCAAGGACAGGGCTCAACCCTGCTTAATCCAAGCAGTGCATGTGACAATGCCCTGAGACTGAGCTTGGATGGTGGTGGGTGGATCAGGGGGATCCACAGCATTACCTCGTGGTGGAAAGAGCAAGAGAATTGGAATCCCGTGGGTGGAGATTCCAATTTTCAGTGTGTCAACTTAGACTCACCTGTGAGCCCGTGTTTTCACCTGTCGAAGTAGGTATGTGGAAGTGGAGGCAGAGAACCTAGCATAGCCCTTATCTGAGGGCCAACGCGTCTTGTTAGTGAAGCACTTGTGAGCTACTATCGATGGGGATCAAGAAGGGCCAGGACATGAGAGCCCCGTCAGGGGGGTCTGTGCCCCAGTAATGAAGAGAGCCAAAGCAAGGGAGGCATGTCAGGAAGGTGAGAATCTCTGTACAGTAAGGGGCAGTTAGAGATTTTACAAGGGTGGCTAGCAGAGGAGACCAGGGCTCCTTTGTGAAAGGGGCCTGGTGAGGAAACTGTTGACTTTCTTACTGAGGAAACAGGAGCCATGGAGGGACTTGCTCAGTAGAAAATCTAGACAGGAAAGCACAGTCTTTTCTCCTGACTTTAGGAAAAGAGTCTATTTTTATCTTTTGCCAAACGTGGATGTCTCTCTCTCAAGGAGGTAAGAAAAATCTTGCAAGGTAGACCTGATTTTCTAGAACCTTTTGCTTAAATGACATAAAAGCTTCTCATTCCCTTATAATAGCAAACTTCCTTCTATGAATGGAGTAATTTTTGGACTAAATGCAGATTATCACTAAACCAAGTCAAAAATCCTATCTGTCAGAATCCTAGCCTAGTAGTTAAATAACATGCGTTTCATATAATGGTCATTTAAAAATTAAACATATTCAAATAGCACTTGAAACGATATCATAATTGTGTTATAGATAGACATTTCTAAAAGGCAAGAACAACATTTCCTTTTCTTGAAGATAAAAATAAAATGTGTCCTTTGATTACTTCCTCTTAAACTGCAAAGTAAATACTTCGAAATATTTACAGAATAACAATGTAAATATAATACCTCCCACATCTATGAAGTGTTTTGCAGCCAAGCCAGAACGTGGAGCTAAAAAACAAAAGAGGAGAAATTGGTTATTTTAAGGGGGAAGAGCAATTACTGAATATAACTGACACAATTTAAGCATATTATTCCTCTTATTGCCTATCATTGATATCTTCATCTTAACATTAGCAGACGGTTCTGAATTACAGAATATAGTTCTCATACTGGATTACCCAAGTAGAAAAGAAGAGTTTAGAAAAATCTGACGAGGTTTAATTCAAAGCCAAGTTGAGCCAGTCCCACAGAAGGTCAGTCAGCTGAAGACCCAGGGTGGCATAGCCATGGGTGGCTGGAATGAACTGAAAGGTGAGCAAGGGGACAGCCCTGGACAACTCTGGGAGGAAGTCTGGCCACACGGGAGGACGGCAGCTGGCAGGGGTATGGAATTGAGAAAAGGACTTCTGTGTTAAGATGGGAGTCCTGAGCATGTTGCAGTGTAGACGGGCTGGAGGCACACAGTAAGGGGAGAGTGGGCGGGGAGAGAGGCATAAACCTAACTGAAGAGTAGCAGAGCTTAGTCTGGAACCTGGGACTCCGCATGTAACAAATGAACCAGAGCAAAGGCTTAATGTCAATCAAGCAAAATGCCAAAAACTAAACCAGAGAAACTCAATTTACTATGCTTTTTATTCTTAAAATGAAAAAATAAAGTTATGTTTATACCTTATACTTGCTGACTTGAGCATCAGGCCTATCATTAATCATCCTAACTTCTAGTATTTCATTTCAGAATAATTAAAATCAGGAAACTTAGTCAATAAATGCTGTCCCTTCCTGCCTTTACTTTTTTTTCCCACTTTATCTCCCGATTCCCCCCTCCAAATATGCTAAAAATGTGGTCAGTGCTGCCAAAGAGAAAGAAAGCTCATGGAAAGGTTGAAATAGTAGCCATTCTCCCATGTATGGGGAACAAGAGAGTGGATCTTGTTATCACCTCCCACCCCAACCCGGGGAGGGGAGGGCGTGTCCCAGTTCCATTTGTTCCTTTCTGTTTACTCTAAAGTTGGTCAGAAGGCAATTACGCACTTGAAAAGAAGTTGTAATAAACCTTTTTTCCAGTGACAACTGAATCACTCTAGAAGAGTGAAGCCTGTGAACTTGTACTCCATCTTGTCCTTAGCTCCTCCCTCTTTGAGGCCCTTCCCTCAGGGAAGAACATCCCTTACCCTCACACACCCCCAGGGGGCAAACCCAAAGGGGAAAGGCTAAGTGGCCTGATGTACTCTGGGACCAACAGGGGTTAAGAAGTTCTATTCTCCCGGCATAAAATGCCAAGGGCCATTATCCTAAGACTCTCTATTTTTTTGTTAACAGATATTAGCCATTCTTATCACCATCTTCACAAAGAAATCTGGACTTCATATGCAATCTGATTTTTGAAGGAGGAGATGGCAGTAACACTGGAAAACGTACCCGTTAAAAATCACCTGTATTTTCAGTTTTTCTCACAGTGAGTTAGTTGTGAGAACCTCTTGGGCCTTCTAAGAGCTCAAGCAGGAATCGGAAAAGTAGCGAAGAGGCAGAAGCAGATATAGGCATCTGTTGCACCTCCTTCACTGTGCTTCGCAGATACTGCGTTTTTTACAAAATGAAGGGAAGACCCTCCACCAGCACAAAGATCACAGCCCACTGAAGGCTTAGAGGATGGTCAGCATTTTTTCAAGCAATAAAGTATTTTTAAATTAAGGTATTTACATTTTTTTAGACGTAATGCGGCTGCATACTTACTAGACTATAATATAGTATAAACATGAACTTTTACATGAACAGGGAAACCAAAAAAAAAAAAAAAATCATGTGACTTGCTTTATTGTGAAATATGCTTCATTGCAGTCGTTTGAAATAAAAACTGCAATATCTCCAAAGTATGACTGTATGTAAATGAAAGTTTTCAAAGAGCTGTATTTGCCATCACAGTTGGCACTTCTTTATTTTAGCGCACAGGCCAAGCAATATCCCTTCTCTCTCTCTCTCTCTCTTCTTTCTTTCTTTCTTTCTTTCATTCATTCATTCATTTTCCTTACCAGAGGTCATTTCTGCATTCATCCTCAGACAGAGCTGGAGGGAGAGAGGGAGAAAGAGAGGGAGAGAAACACATCGAGTGGTCGCCACCCACACGACCCCAACCGGGGCCGGGGACAAATTGCAACTGAGGTACGTGCCCTTAGTGGGAACGGAACCAGGGGCTCTCTGGTCCCCAGGCTCCCTTCTCTCATTTATACCCCAGATAAAACTAAGATGAATAAACACCACAAGGAAGAGCATGATAAATCTGAAATCACTCACCTACTCTTCCATAGCACCCAGAAGGAAGAGCGATCTGAATGTCGGTTTTCACAAGGGTTTTCTCCATAGGTGGTACCGTGTAATCATAGGCACTAGGAAGAAATTGGAAGAAAATAACTGGCATGTAGATACAGCAATTCTCTATGAATCTTTATGGTGAAAGAAGTAACAAGATCTAAACATACTCTCCCCCGAATAAAATTTGGTTGGGAAACTGAAATAATTATTTAGCACGAGGGGGAAAAAAAAAAAAATGAACTTTTAAAAGGTGTATGAGGCACTAACACAATATGAAGAAAGGAAGATAAAGAGAGAACCAAGAAAGGAGGGTAAATCATAGCTAACATTTATTAAGCACTTACTATGCCCAGGCACAGTTCTAACTGCTTTTTATAGCTCAGGTTATCTCACTATAATAGTCTAAGGGACTTTGGAAAGCGTGCAGAAGGAAAGGGGGAAATGGGTGGACCACCTAATGGGGCAGAGCTGGGTTGCATCCGTTCTGCTGATCTTGGTAGTTCAGCAAACATACAAGCTGTGGCAGTGACTTTCACTGGCCAAGGGAGACAGCTGACCACTCTGAACAGCTCTGGAGATGTACACTGCTGAGGAACTGATTCTCTTGGGTCCACCCGCAAATGCTGCTCCTGTTATTACTGTAGTACACAGACATTTTTAAAAAGCAGAACTGGAAATTACTTTGAAGATTTCCATTACGACTGGTAAAGTGGTAGTGTGTTTTTACTTCCTTCAATGAAGTTTGCTCTCTTCAAACAGTTAAACACTAACTTATTCAAGAGAACAGTTGTTTCCACGTCTATTTCAGTACATGAGGATGCTCAAATACCTTAAATCAAAGTCTCTTCTTAAACTCAGAACAGTGCCCAGACATGGTATAGTCAAACTACATGTTGTCAAACTATTTGTATTCGTGAAAATTAAGAGACCTGGACTATATCCCTTTCAGCTACAACAGTCTTTACCTAACATTTCTTTGTTTTTCTTTTTTCCCTTACTATCATCGCACACTTCTTTCTTCTCTTCTCCTGTACTTACTTATGACGTAGACCAGTAGTTCTCAGTTAAAATTACCTGGAATGCTTTTAATATATTGGACCATTCCCCATCTCCCATGTCACTTTTCACTTACTTCATGGTCCTAAGACGTGGGCATAATAATTCAGGGGGAAAAAAAGCACTGAATTCAGGGCCAAAAATTCTATTACATTCAAGCCTTTAGGCTATCAATTCAGCTCTTTATAAACCCCCTCACCTGTAGAAAATAACACTCACCTATTCAGATTGTTGTGAGGATTTTTAAATTATCACATAGGAAAGTATTACTAATACTTCTGCTTTTCATAGTCAACCCTTGCTGAAATTTCCAGTCCTTGGGGCAAACTTAAATATAGACGTGTGGAGAAATTTTATTAACCCTTTAAGACAAAAGCAGCCTTCATTAATCCTTCTTAGGTCTTTTGATACTAAGCTCCTAGGCTCCACAGTGGCTTTCTTTCTATTGGGCACAGCATCCTGCTCAGGCCTTGAAGGCCAAGGTGGGTCTTAAACATCTTTACCTTCCACCTGGAGAGGGTGCAATAAATGTTGCAAAACAACACCTCAGAGGACACATGAATATTTACTATTCTACACCCTTTGCCCAAATCCCTATTGAATCTATACTAAAGAGGTAAGCTAAAATTTTCAACCCCATAAAGTCAGAAACCGTACATAGATGGGGAAGGGGGGCAGTTTGGCCCTACCCGGTTTGGCTCAGAGATTACAGCGTGGGTCAAGGGCACGAACCTCGGTTGCGATTTGTCCGGCCCTGATTGGGGTCTTGGCGGCAGGCAGTCACTCAGTGTGTCTCTTTCACATGGATGTTTCTCTCTCTCTCCCACTGTATCTGAATAAAAGTGGAAAAATGTCCTCTGGTGAGGACTGATTAAATGAATAAGTAAATAAATGTTTGTTTGCCCCAAGGACTGGAAATTTCAGCAAGGGCTTGGTGGGGTTCCATGCCCTGTCTCAGTTAAGGGAGGCAATCAGTGGATTTCTCTTTCACATCAATGTTTCTCTCTCTCAAAATCAGTAAACATACCCTGGGGTAGAACTAAACAAACAATAACACACGTTTGTCTCTGTAATCTTTTAAATGAAAGTGTTAAGCTGTGGCAGCAGAGGGGCTGCATGTAGGCTAGCGTGGCAGAAAGCTCTACAATTCGGGGACAGCCTTCCCCGCGGGGGCGGATGGCGGGGACAGCAGGCGGCCCTCCCAGGCTCCGGGCGACCTCTGGAGAGCGCGCGCGGCCGCGGCCACCACTCACCTGTACAGGTCGTAGCCCGCGGCCCGGGCGGAGCCCTTGGTGGGCGCGGTGGCGTGCTCCGACAGCCGGACGAAGCGGAGCCGCAGGCCGCCCTCCTCCGCAGGCCGGGGCCGCTTGCTGGGGGAGACCGTCTCTTCGGAGCACGGCATGGCAGAGCAGCGCGGGCGGAGTGGCGGCAGGGGAGCAAGAAGGCGCAAATTGAACCCAGCTGCTGCCAACGCGCCCAAATTCTGAATTTCCCGCCAACAACCCCCGCCCCGCCCCGCCCCCCCCTGGGCGAACCCACAACTTGGCTGAGAAGGGAAGAAGGAATCCAAGTTGGGGCTGGAAACCCTTGTCCGAAACCAGATTTGGGACCCCCCACTCCTGACCCCTTTTGAGCTTTGCCACCGCGCGCACGCGCCGAAGGCAGGGGTGCGGCGTCTTCGGGGCCTCCTTCGCACCGGCAGACCCCCACCCCGGGGCGACCCGAATGGACTCGCTCCCGCGCCGTCGGGCCGCGCGCCCGCCCCTAACCGCGCCTACCCAGCCCCGGGTCCGACTCCTCCGCCGGCCTCCTCCCAGGCCCCGGGCGGGCGCGAGGGCGGCGGGCGGCGCTCCCATCCTCCCCACGCCTTAGGAGGCCTGGCCCCGACATTACTGGCGCCGCGGCATCCTCGGCTCGGCCTGCGAGCGCTGGACAGCGGCCGGGACGCCCCCGGCGGGGCCGGGCGGAGGAGCGGGCCTGGCCGGCGGAGAGCGGCCGTCCCGGCGCTCGGCGGCGCGCTGCCCGCGTGCTGAACCGCGGAGAGGAGCAGAGACGGAAGGAGAAGACAGCGGGGCGCCGGGCGAGGGCGTAGGGGCGTCATTTGCCCCGAGCTCCAAGCGCTGGTTGGCTGTTCCGCTCCCGCAGGCGCTCGCCGAGTCTGCACCCTCAGGACCGGTCCGGGCAGTGACCTCGGAAGCAGTAGCCGCCGCCGTTTGGCGGAGGCGCAGGGAGGCGGTGCGTCGGCCCGGCGCAGCCTGGGTCTCCGCGAACGCGCGCTCTGCCCGGGATCCGCCTGCGTCTTCGGGCCGTCTCTGCCTCCCTCCTTCTAGTCTCGAAGTTTCCCCTTTCCGAAACTACCCTCGAGGCCCATTGCTCGGGCCCTGCCCAGCTCTTGACTCACCAGGGGCGGCGCCGCCCGCGGCCATGACTCCCGAGGCGCCGATCTCCGCGGCGTGAAGCCCGCTGCGCCCGCGCTGCGCCCCGGGCTGTGGGGAGGCCGCGTGGTCGATTCCTTACAACGCCGAACGTGCGGGGGCCAGGGGCAGGGGCACTAGGATAACTGCAGCGACAACTCAGTTGACATCCTAGCACTGTCTTGGATGACCCCGTGGCAGTATGGAGCGCCCCCGCCGTGGCTTCGATTCAGAGATCTGGACCACGATTGGTATAACTTGGAGTGGGGATGAGCAAATCACTTAACACTTTTTATATCATTGTAAATTGATCTCCGGCACCGACGCTGACATCTGAATACCAAATTGTAATGCACTTTGTTAAAACAAATACACACTGTAGTGGTGGGGGCTAGTTTTAAAAAAATTGAACCAAAATGTTGAAGCATTGTTGGGGAAGTTTTCAGATTTCCTTGCTGTGCCCTTCCTTACAGGCCCCACCTTTTCCGTCTCCTTTGGGGCTCCTAAATGTGGGAATTCTGTTGGATGCGGCTACGGGCTAGACATGGCTAGACATCTCTCTTAACATGGCTATAAATATTACCTGTACCCTACTGGGCTCCCCAAATTTATACCTATAGCAGCATGATCTGGGCCCTACTAGAACCAACATCCCGCTCACCTGGTGGTGGTCTGGCCACGTGGCTTTTGAACAATTTCTAGACTCACCAGACTTTCCTGCTTGGGAATCTTTACGCATCCATCCTTGGTCTGAACTTCATGTGTTTCAAGTCTCAGATCACCTCAGAAAAGCCTTCCCTGACAAACTTAACGAGTAGCTGCCCTGTTTTATCCACACTACCATTTTCTATCACCGTACTTTGGTTTTCTTTTTCCAATCACACCACTTACTACTGCAATCTGTATTTCTTTTATGTATTTTCTTGTTTACTATTTACTCTCATAGCCATAAGCTGAATGAGGGCTGGTACCACACATGTCTTCATTCACCATTGTATTCCTGGGGCCTCCCTTAGTGCCTGGCTCAGAATGGTGCTTGATAAATATTTACTTTATGAATAAATGATAGAGATCTCATTGCTTATTCCATTGGGCTCCTGTATATGATCACTTCTCAAAGTCTTTGGATTTTCCTGTTTACTCCTTTAATTTTTAATCAAAGGATTTTTTCCATATAATGTTTTTACAAGGACTACAATGAATGAAAAGCAGCCATCCCTGCCCAACCCCTTCCACAAACACCCTCCCCTAATCTCACTCCTCAGAGGCAATACTTCTGACTTTTGGGGGCTCTTTCTACTGGAATTTACTTCCTATTTCTAAATTATATGTTGCTTTTTTTTTTTTAATGGCATAGAAATTATCTTATGAATTAGGGTAGTTAAAATTCAGTCTATTACCCCCTTCTCCACCCCATTCTTCCAATAGTTTTGAAACAGGTTTTGGATAAGTTAACAGTTGGTATTTACTTTATCATGACTATGTAAGTATCATTCACTGCTGAGACAAGTAATGTGATATGATTATATTTTTTACCTGTTCCCCTCAAGTTAAAAATCACTTTGTTTTTCTCTTTGTCTTCATTGGTGGCAGTGTTTTTAATTAATCTATTGCTTGTTTTTATCAAATGCTCCAGTGGATCCAGTACCTTAACTATCTATCACAGCAAATGAAACACTAAAACACATCAAATTCTCTTCTTAGATCCATTTTTCCTTCTCTTACTCCTCTATTCTGTTGCTCCAATGTGTGCAAGTAATGTTCTTGCTGAATAGCTGTCATCCTGACACTTCCTGGGACGTGCCCTTCTTTGGTATTGGAGCCCTGGTTTTATGGTCTAATATCTGGCTCTTAGTTTACATCCCCATTTTGCTAAAGTACTTACGCGAGTGTTTTTCTAAGGAAGTTCACAGGAGAGAGAAATCATTTGAGTCCTCGCACATCTTAAAACGTAGTGATTGTAGTTTTACCCAGACCCAGATAAAGTTCACACTTCATTCATGAAACATCCTTACAACCAGTAGTGACTTCTGTATTATCTTATCTCTTATAACACTGTATCATTCATTAGCCATGTACTATAATTGTGTAATCATCTCATGTATATGAACTTTATCTTTCCCATTACTAAGGGTAGTAAAGTTTTATGAATCCGTCAAAAACCTGCTTCAATGTTTTATAGAAAACTTATTTATTTGGCTCCTTATAATACCTAACACCAAGAAAGTATTCAGCCTTTCCTTCTGTTAATGTGGATACAGGAAGTGTTTCCTTATTATTGTCACTTTTCATCTAAGATTTTTATTTTTTAAATAATTTTTCTTTATTGATTTTGAAGTGGGAGAGAGAGAGAGACATCGATGAGAGAGACCATTGATTGGCTGCCTCCTGCATACCCTCGACTAGGGATCAGGCCCACAATCTGGGCATGTGCCCTGACCCGGAATCACTCAACCACTGAGCAACACCAGCCAGGCTCATCTGAGATTATTTTACATTGAAAAGAGAAAAGTGCATAATGCAACTGGAAAGGAGTTAGCAGGTTAGAGTTCTGAACCAGTAAATATTTAATAGGACTTCCTTATGACAGATGAAGACACTACAATAAAGAACTAAACATCTCCCAAGCATAGTTTATTTCATGCTGTTTCTTTATCCGAATATACTTATCCTATCAGTCATGCTGATAAATTCAATTACAAGAGTCTAGTGCCAACTGGAACCTGTTGAGAATGCAGTCATTACTTTACAATCAGAGTTGTCTTTCCTACCGCTGCCATTACAGTAGTCCTGCCTTACCTGTGATTTAGCTTTCAGCGGTTTCAGTTACCCCTACCAACCACAGTCTGAAAATATTAACTGGAAAACTCCAGAGATAAACAATTCATAACTTTTGTATTACACATCATTCTGAGTAGCATGATGAAATCTCATGCTATTACGCATTGTTAGGCCCTGTCTTGAGTCATCCTTTTGTCCAGCATATCCCTGCTGCATATGCTTCCTGACTGGTAGTCACTTAGTAGCCTTCTAAGTTTTCAGATCCACTGGGGTGGTATTGCAGTGCTTGTGTTCAAGTAATCTTCAAGAGTAGGGATATGCCAAAGAGAGGCTGTAAAGTGCTTCTTTTAAGTGAAAAGGTGAAAGTTTTCAACTCACTAGGAATGAAAAAATAAAATCATATGCTGAGGTTGCTAAGATCTAGAGCAAGAATGAGTCTGCAACCCGTGAAATTGTGAAGAAAAAGAAATCCGTGCTAGTTTTGCTGTTGCATTCACGCTGCAAGTTACAGCCACAGTGTGTGATAAGTGCTTAGTTAAAATGGAGAAGGCATTACATTTGTGGGTGGAAAACATGATAGAAAATGTGTTCCAGTTGACGGCAGCATGTTGGACCAGAAAGCATTGAGCCTGTAAGAAAACTTCAGCTAGGGAATCCCCTGAAATGAGTGACACCAAACCATTTGCTGCAAAGTAAGGGATAGTTTCACAGATTCAGGAATAGGTCTGGACTGAAAAATAGAAAAATTATTAGAGAGGCTGCATCTGCCAACGAAGAAGCTGCTGCCACATTTCCAGCACAGTTGAAGAAGTTGATGGAGAAAGGATACTATCCAAAGCAATTCTTCAATTGCAATAAAGCCAGACTCTGGAAGAAGATGCCCAATAGAAACTACATTCATAAAAGTGCAAAGGAGGCATCAGGGCATAAAACATGGAAGGACAGGTTAACTCTGGTACTACGTGGCAATGCTACAGAGCATCTGATAAAGCCAGGCATAGTGTATAGAGCGAAGAACCCACACGCTCTCAAAACCAAAAGTTATCTGTCTGTGTTCTGGCAACGTAATCAGAAAGCGTGGGCGACAACCATCTTGTTTATGGGGTGATTCCACCAATGCATCCGTCACAAGAAGAAAAAGGGTGAGTATCGTACAATAAGGTATTTTGAGGGAGAGACCACATCCACATGATTTTATTACAGTATATTGCTTTAATTGTTCTATTTTATCGTGTCGTTTATCTCTTATTGTGACTAATA